TATATATATATATGTATATATATGAATATAGTAGACATTTCAAAATATAGCCTTTTCTCCCACGTGTTTCCAATGTTAAACATTAAAATATCATGGTTATTATCTTTTTGTGTTCGTCATTTTATTCTTGTAAATAGTAGGATGTAACGGATCTAGCATAGAAATAGAAAATAGAAGAAAAAATCTTAGGCGCGTGTCTCTTTCTTGTTCTTTTTTCTTTCTTTCTTTCTTTCTTCCTTTTTTTTTCTTTTTTTTTTTTTTCTTTCTCTTTTATCGATCCCTATTAACAATCATCATATTTTCTTCAAAAGAGTATATACGTTTCGTTATTTCGAAGGCTATCGATTTTAAAGTGGCATCGTATATTTCTTCTTCTTCTTCTTTTTCTTCTTCTTTTTTTTTTCTGTTCATTAAAAAATCATAGAGATCAACATGGAGCTGACTAATCTCTATTTATAAATTGAATGATCTTCTTATTAATAGTATTTTATATTTAAGCAATAGTGAATGATAAGAAACTTATGTAAAAACGGTGTTTCTGATGCCGCTACTGCTACTGCTACTGTTACTGCTGTTGCTGCTGCTGCTGATGATTATTATTATTGTGATGATGATGATGATGATGATGATGATGATGATGATGATGATGATGATGATGATGATGATAATGATGTCGTCGTTGTTCTATAACCTGCCAAATAAAATCGATAAGTAATATACGAACAAAGGAAATTGTATCTAATTACACTCCTAATTATTATATTATAATGTATATATATATATATATATATATATATATATATATATATATATATACATACTTACATATTTACATAGACATATTTTAATATAATCATTAGTTATATAAAAAAAAGCAATGCAATAAAATGCAAAATTAATTTAAATCAAGTATAAAGATTTCTCTTTATCGAAATATTCTCTCTTTGTCTCTCTTCCTCTCTCTCTCTCTCTCTCTCTCTCTCTCTCTCTTTCTTTCTCTTTATAGAAACATTGAAAAAAACCTTCGAAATTCGTATAACACATTACACTTACATATTATATTAACCGGTTAAGTTTTATCATGGCTGTTTGTGTTACAGCAGTAGACATGTATAAACTTGGTTTGTCGAATTAATCTCTCTATATATGTATATTTGCGAGGCTGTAAATAATGTCTGTTATGGATAGAAGGATGACCTATGGGGTAACCCTGGCTGACGGACTTTGACAGCCTGGGGTCGACAGTTCGAAAGATGTTTCATGTCAGTATTATCATCTTCTACAATCCCTCTCTCTTTCTCTCTTTCTTTCTTTTTTCCTCTCTTTTTTCGGTCTCTCTTTCTTCTTCTTTCTCTTTTAATCTTTATATATTCTCTCGTAATCCATTCAACAGACATTGAGATTTGTCCGATGTTAACAGATAATCGATATATAATAATCGATTCAACTCTTTGTCAATGTCATTTTTGACAAAAATGACAAAAATTATTATTATTATTATCAATTAGATGTTATTACAATTTTATATATCTATATATAAATATACATATATATATATATATATATATATATATATATATATATATGTAGGAATCATTCACGTGACTTCGTTTAATCGTAACTTTTATTTAGATCTTCGAATTGTAAGCTAATACACACAAACTCGTACACATACTCACATTCATTAATACATTTCTAACTTTATTCTCCTTTTCTTAAATTCCTTAAATTGATAATAAAAAAGTAGAAAAACTATGAATGAAGAAGGATCTTAGAAAGTTTTAAACCAAACGATTATATAGAATCTCTCTCTCTCTCTCTCTCTCTCTCTCTCTCTCTTTCTCTCTAACACTGTTTTATCATGCGATAATATTGAAATGTAGTACCTTGGCGACGGCGAAGAAATAAATCGATGTATATGCCTTCCTGCTTTTTTCTTTTTTTTTTTCCTCCTTAAGGATAAGACATGCAATAAAAGCGTTCGTCTTTTATTCTCTTATGAAAATTCATAGGAGTCTCGTTCGACAAATGTTCGGTTATTTGTTTCTATTTACTCGTTACATCGAAGATATTATGTATGTATTTATGTATATAGGATATAGTATGGACAAAGAAGAGATAGATACATATAAATATATATATATATATATATATATATATATATATATATTTTTTTTTATGTATATTATGTATATATATTATACGTGTTATATCAAAAAAAAAGAAAGAAAAGAAAAAGAAAAAAATCTTTTATCGTTACAATAATTTTATTGACGAATACGATCACGCCAATAAATATAATAAAAATTAATAATCACGTAAGTAAATATATCATTTTTATTTCTATATTTCCGATTGTAATATGCGTAATAAAATTTAGTCAATGCATATATGTATTTCTCATTTAATCATATCTACGTACGAGGAGTTTAATATGATGAATAATTTATCTACATATATATTGCGCATAATCGTAATTAATTTAACGATATCCTATGAATTTGTAATAACTCATGCTCATCGTAAGCTTGATCTTTGGATCCTTGAAAAAATATTTCATTTTATAATTCGAATTCATGAATTTATTTTTCTTACAATGTAAAAATTCAATCTTCGCGAGATACTGTAATTATATGTAATTATACGAATAAAAAAAGAGAGAGGAAAAAAAGAAAAAAAAGAAAAAAAAAGAAAAGAAAAGAAAAGAAAAAAGAAGAAAAAAGAAGAAAAAAGGAAAAAAAAAGTAAAAGAAGAAAAATGATTTAGTAGAAAAGAAATTTAAGGTCCTTAACCAGGGATATCTTAGGAAGAGATAGAAGTAAAGTCATTTTCTTGGGTAATGCGTACCACGTGGTTCCAGGTACGACATTGTGGGAACCAATCCATCTGACTCACATACCAGTGGTCTCTAACTAACACTGACAACCCCCACTTACTGATTACCAGCGAGAGAGCAAACGAACGAAAGAACGAAAGAACGAAAGAACGAAAGAACGAACGAACGAACGAACGAACGAACGAAAGAACGAACGAATAAGCTAGCACTTGCTTTCGTTAGTAGTAAATTTATTTTACGATTCAATCCTTTCATTCTTTTCAACGTTATGCACCGCATGAACTTGCAATTTCGTGTGGAGTTTAAAAGCACACGAAAGAACGATCAGAAAAAGTCGTTCGCGTTTCGGCCTACGTTACAACGAAACCGCACGCGTCCTCGTTAACATCAACAAGTGTCCTCTTCTTCGAGCTAGACAATAGTATTATTGCACTTCTTGAAATTGAATATTATAAGAATAGTGAAAAGGAGACTACCTACGAATATAATCGAATTATATTTCATATGTGTGCTTTATATATGTATGTACGTATGTACAATACATTAACGATAATAACGCGTGATATTTTACGTAATTCTAGGACGCGAAATTGCAGTTGAAATTTCGAAAGAGGGTATATAAACGCGATGCGCGTGTTCGAAGACCACTTAACTCTTTGTACTATACTTCGGACCCCATTATAAACTTACTCCCTACGTAGTTTCTCATTTCCCGTAACAGACACCTTCTAAGTCGGTCGTATTATGATGATGATGATGATGATGATGATGATGATGATGATGATGATCTCTCTTTAAATCGCATTTAATTATTCTAAAAGATATATCGAATTTGATAACAACATAGAAATATTCTCGTTAATTAATATGTATTTATTTATATATCATAAAAAAGTACATATAATAAAAATATTATAAATATATAACGATTAAGTTCATCGCGAGATAAATAAAGTGTATATTGAAAAATTCAAGCAAACAATATATATATATATATATAAATATATATATGTATATATATATGAGGTTATATAAGAAAAAGAAGATCAAGGTTCTTCGTTTTAATTGTCGATTTTTTTTTTCTTTATGCATGAGAAATAAAAAAAAGAGAAGAAAAAAAAGAAAAGAAGCAGAAAAGAAACGAAGATACACTTTGCATATCGTTCTTTAGAAAATTCTCGACAGACAATTTGTAATAATGGTAAATGAATTGATGAAAACTTTTTCTTTTCTTTTCTTCCTTTTTTTTTTGTCTTTTTCTTTTTTTTTTATTTTTTTTTTATTTTCTTTTTTCTTTCATTCCTTTACTTTTTCTTTTCCTCTTCCTGATAAACACGAGTAAGTACGCATAAATCTCTTCGTATGTTAAGGAATAGAGAGTTAGATATATTCTTTATTTATAAATATAGTATATGATCATCAAGAAAGAAAGAGAGAGAGAGAGAGAGAGAGAGAGAGAGAGAGAGAGAGAGAGAGAGAGAGAGAGAAAGAGAGAGAGAAAGAGAGAGAGAGAGAGACAAATATGATTATTGCATAATTGAAAGTGGCATTAAAAGATATCGTGGGTCGAAAAAGCGTATTCAAAAAAGCATTATAAATTAGATAACAGTGTACCTTGTTTGTATCTAATCTCGTTACAACAAGACGAAATGCATGCAGAGTAAGTAACACACAGAGTAAATATACGTCTCGAAAGGGGGAACTCTTTCGGTGTATCGATGGTCAGCTATTAATACTTTCTCGTTGTTAGTGCTACACGGAGTGGCAGACCGGCAACGCGATAACGAATATATACTGTTTTTTACTCGTTCGCGTACCTAAAGTTTTTAAAAGACAGACGATCGATTTCATCTTCTCGAATCGTTTTAACGAATAAGCAAAAAAAATAACAACAATTACGAAAGAGCTATATATACATACACGAACACACACACACATATATATATATATATATATACGTATATACGTATATACGTAAATAGATACGTAAATATATACGTCAATACATAAATAAATAAATAATATACATACATAGATACATAGATACGTACTTACGTGCGTACTTACGTACGTACTTACGTTCATACTTACGTACACTTTTCTTCTTTTTTTTCTTTTTTTTTTCTTTTTTTTTTTTTTTTTTTTTATATATATATATATATATATATATATATATATAAAAGAGGGTGTTACCGATTATAGAAACGAACATGAGCCATTCGACATACTACGTTTTTCCTTTTTTACTTCTTCTCGTTACTATTTTCGTTGGTGAGGCGTATCGATACGCAGATTGTCAACGGCAACCAAACGACGAAATTATATGGGAATACGACGTACGCAGGCCATACAGATTCGGTATCAATCAGGTATTATTTATTTTCAATTAATATATATATGTATATATATTTGTTTTCAATTCGAACAACAACAAAAACAAAAAGGTAGTACGTCGAATATTTTTTTTTCCTTTTCTTTTCTTTTTTTTTTTTTTTCTTTTTTTTTATATCAACCCAACTGCACGCTCATACACGTACGCACAATTGCATTATAAATAATTAGATGATTTATATCATCTAATTATTTATAATGTTGTAATCATAAACGTTTGCATTACAATTTGTTCTCTATCTCCTTTTCTCTCTTTCTTTTTTCTCTGTCTTGTTTACAGGAAGTAGAAGCAGAATATGGACCAACAATGGCTATCATTACTTGCATAGTGATCGATTCATTATCCGACGAAGACAACGGTGCTGTATGGATTAAAGCTGGCGGTATAGGTCAAAATTTTGTCAAACTTAAGTTTAGATCGAAATACTCGAGAGGCCTTCGTTATAAAGTCTTTGTATATGGTCAATCTATGTTAAAAAAGATCTCGTAAATTATAATATTTAACTTTATATATATATATATATATATAATTTTTATTTGCTAGATTTAATAGTGCCTACGAACAAATACACACACACACACACATATATATATATATATATTTCTTTTTTGATACATACACTCATATATACATATATATATAGTCGCCGATAAGATATAAACAAATTTAATTGAATTCGTTTATTTGTACTTATTGAAACCTATAATCATTTTGGTACACGCAGAGAACATTGTTAGAGGTACGCAAAGAAATGTTATCAGAGAACTTTCCTTAACGATCTTTCGTTATCTACTAGCCAGTTATCATTATCTAGAAAAGCGTTAGAAACCTTAGAGGAGATAATGACGTGCGCACAAGCAATCGAGTAAAGTTTGAGAGGGGAAGTCAATGTACGAGTCATTAATCTGTTAGTTGAAATGTTGAAATTTAATGGACGGAATATTAAGATCAAAACAATTTCATTCGCTTATACATACACATAAATATTATATATACTTTTTATATTCATTCATCTCAAAAATATTCAAAATAATGTTATCAGGAAAATACAAAGCTATCGTTCTCGATGTAAAAATACTATTTAGATAACCACATTATATTAATCTTACAATAAGAATAAGAATAAAGGAAATAGAAGAAAAAATATCGTGAGCTATTCTATTATGTCGGAATTTGATTTTACGTTCTTAGTCACGTAACTCTCATCGAGAGATCGGAAAACCATTTAAAAGCAAAACGATTGGAGTTATCAAACAATGGGGGTTCCTTTACTCGACGAATACGACGGAGACACGAGAACGACCGTGATCGAAGAAATTCGAATATTTTTCTTTTCTTGCACGAAATAATAAACGACTATGAGTATAATTGAAGGGGCATGAAAAAAAAAAAAATATGTATATATACATCTTTCTCTTATCATATTAAACATAATTATCAAACAAACGAGTAATCACGATTTTATCATATTATTTCTTATCGTTCTTAGTGCACGATCGTTCTCGTTTTCTTATGTCGATTTAACCACAACAGCAACAAAAAAATATTATCTTCCTTCTCGTTTTATCCCGAAATTTCTTTCTTTTGTAGAATTTCAAGTCACGTACTCTCTGATCTTTAATAATACTCTCTCATTTTAATTTAATTCCCTGATTTTATACCATCGAAAAAGTAAATTATTTATAACGTATACTTATATACTTATAACGTTCGATTCGATTGTAAAATAACGAAAGTTCCAGATCATTTATCGTATGTTTATAAAGATATTCGAATATTTTATTGGATATCTTTGTTGATTTTCAATATCGACATATATTGCTCAAAAATAACGTAATAAATAATTTTATGCATGATCATATCCATTGACTTAGATAGCTTATTCGATTTTTGAGAGAGGTCAAATTATGCACTGAAATAATATGATAAGTTGTCGATAAGATCCTTCCTTTTTCTTTTTTTTATCATGTTTTTTTTTAATTTTTTTTTTTTTTTTTAATTTTTATTAATTCCTTTTTTTTCGAAAGAGAAACGAACACTACATTAAAATCTGAAAATCTATGATTAATAAATAATTTCGAAATATATCTATACTATTTTTATATATATTATATATGAATATAATCAAATCTCAGAGGTTTTTAATCTATTTTATTCTTCGTTCTAACATTAAATAAATAAATAAATAAATAAATAAATAAATAAATAAATAAATAAATATATACATACATATACATGATAATTTTCTAAAATGTTTATTGCAAATAAAAAAAAATGAAAAAAAAAGTAAAATAAATAGAATGATAAAAATAATACATTAAGAAATAATATAAAAGCAAAACGATATAAGGAAGGATAAAAATCGAAACATGTAGAGTAAAAATTTTTGTGTACGTGTATTTGTGTATGAACGTTGTTGAATGGGAGTTATCCGTTCTCCGACCCTAGCTCCTTCATCGCTAAAGGGCTCACGAGGGTGCGCGTGGAAGCGGCTAGGGGTGACTCTGCACGCGAAGCCACGACGGTGGTTCAGGATGAAGGTAGAAGCCTCGCGATAACGATAGCGACGTTTAGTAAAAGCCGGCCGGCCGTGGCAAACACAACCGCACCCTGTTGTCGATTCTCAAAAGAAGAGATCATCGAAAAGGGAAAGCCAAAAACTTTCTACACTGCCATTCACGATTCTAATAACTCTATTATTTCTCAAAATATCGAACGTCTTCATCCGGCTACGACATTTTCATCATCGTTAATATGCCACGGGTGAGTTGAATTCTTATTATTAAGTTTGTAGATAATGAGTCGATTGTAAAAAGAAAAACGAAAGAAAAGAAAAAAAAAAAAAAGAACAACTTCGAAATAATTTTGTAAGATTGTAGTATTATTTTATTTATTGTATTTTTTAATTAACTCGTTATACGTATTTTTTTTCTTTCCTTTTTTTTCTTTGCATTAAGTCGCCTCGTTTTTTTTTTTTTTTTTTTTTTTTTTTTTTCTTTTAATTAATTATTTGTAAATAAAAAAAAATACAGAGAACTTCGTTGATATTTACGTATCTACGTAATCCACGTAATTAAAAAGGAAATTTTTGAATGATTTCCTTAAATGTAAATTCTGTAAAAAAAAAAAAAAAAGAAAAAAAAAATAAAGAAGAATATAAGATCAAAGATGATAAATCTCGGATTCTTCGCGTGATCTTTAATTTATTGACACGAGGTTACATGTACGTACTTATATGCATCTACGTGAGATAAATCGGTAAAGAGGTTTCGGAGTAACACGCAAATTAACTGGTTTCACGTTAGCTTGATTGACCCTTCCCATTAAATCTTCAAGCTTCATAAATACGAAAATATGCTGTAACTAATGTAATTTTAGCCTTGTCGTACGAAGATAATGATAACAACTTTGAACGATCATCTACCGACGATAGTTCATTTTCTCAGCACGTTTTATAATAATTAGTATCCACGCGTATGTGTATATTTTCTTACATGAAATAATATCATACCAATCGAATTTAATTAATGGTTATCTTATTCGTCAGTCGATGATTACGTTATTATCCTAAATACATATTGTAGTTCGATTGCTAGTTGGTTGTAAAAAATAAAAAAAGAAAACAAAAGAAAAAAGAAAAAAACGAAACAATACTGACATCATAGAAACAAAAAAAGAAGAAAAAAACAAATTAAAAGACCAAAGAAAAAATATTAAGAAAAAAAAAAAAAAAAGAAAAAATCACCTTCTTAGCAACGATTTGTTACGGTTATAGCAATGACCAGCGGTCATTTTCACAAAGGCCTGTGACGCATCGAAAGAATAACTTAGGGGAAATTTCGTTTGAATTGTAAGCCAGCTTGTCACGTGTTTCAATCTCATATATATATTATTAGAGAATAATGAATAAGACACGTGTCCATTGATAGTAAATGAATTTTTTTTTTTTGATTATCATTCTGACGATATAACGTATAATTTAATTTTTAAATGAAATCCATCGAAATCTATAACGCCGATGAAATAAGAATGACGATATATAATGGACAATAAAAATTTTGCAATTTTTGACCGTATATTATAATATATTATGATTTTTCTATTCGTCATTTCTCATAATCATAGATATATAAATACGTAAACACATAGACATTCAAACGTGAATATCAACGATATTCACAAAAAGATTTTATTTATGAATGGCAATTTCCGTGAGCTTATGAAATCGAGATTATATCATTTTATTCCGTCTTAGATCGCACTAATTAATCGATTGGAATCTATTAGAGGCATAGGAAAATATTTGTAAACATACGTTATACAACGTTTGACTTCTAACATTTTCTTAAAAATTTTTATTCTAATCATCAATAATACCATTTATCAACATTTTTATTGATCTTCGATATATACGTATAATACATACGTGAGAAATCATCGAGAGCAATTGATTACGTAAGATTATTACTTATAAAATTATTGTATATTCTATAACATATATATATATATATATATATATATATATATATATTATATGAAATAGAAGGTTATAATATAATTATAACATCTTGCGTATATATTATACTTTTTTCCTTGGCGATTTGACTACGAGTGCAAAGTACAGATTTTCAATGTGAGAAAGAGAAAGAGAGAGAGAGAGAAAGTGGCAAAGAGATAGATAGATAGATAGAGAGAGAAAGAGAGAGAGAGAGAAAGAGAGAGAGAGAGAGAGAGAGAGAGAGAGAAAGAGAGAGACGGGAAATATAATAAATACATTACATACATACTTACGTACATTACATATATACGCACATAAGTGTATCTATTGTTTGTTAATAAACGATAAAAACGATTAATTTATTTATCACTTAGAAAAGTTTAATCTATCAATACGTCAATTAGAAATTATAAGAATTAACAATTTTTCGATTGGCCGATAACTTCAAATATAGGCGCCAATAAAAAACATGAAAATTCACAGTCGGAGAATTATTGTCAATAGACCGACGAAACACCACAGATAGCAGATTTCATTATGCATTTTTATCTTCTTTTTCTTTTCTTTTTTTTTTCTTTTTTTTCTTTAATCCTTTAATTTTCTTATTTCTTTTTTTCTTCTTTTATTTTACACTGACTACTCGATTTTTTTTTCTTTTTCCTTTTTTTTTTCCTCTTTCTTTTTTTTCCTTTTTTAAAATAACATTCGCGCACTTGTTAACGCACGTACGCATTTAATGTACATATGTAAATATAACTTTCGGCTATCGTGCTAATTCGAAAAAGATTAGAGCCACGTGTATCATATCAAGGCGGTTAGTGGGCATTGACCACTGTTAATTTCCACGAATGATATAAAATCTTTATTTTTTTTTTTCTACATATTTATATATATCTATGATTTAAGGTCTTGCCCTGTCTTGGGTAGATCAAAGTTTGTCGTTTCGTTCGTAGAATTTTAATATTATAATATTAAAGGATGGACAACAGAGAAGTTTGTAAGAGTATCGAACGTTTGA